GGCAAAGCCGATGGCGCTCAACTCGTTGCCTAAAAAACAAACGCGTTAAAAATAAGATATTATTTTCCCAACTTTTGCAGAAAATTGCCTAAAATTTGCAAACTCACGAAATTGGGTTGCGGGCGTGAATTGTATTCAGATACTCTGGGTTTCCATTTCGGAAATATATATATGTGATGTACATGGCCAGCACTTGACTGGTCTAGTCTTGAAATAACATTCGTTTCAGTAATAGGCCTTCATGGATTGTAAGATTTCTTTTGCTTTGGTTAGTTGACCTACCTCCATGTCTCCTGACCGTTGTAAATCCAAGTCCTGACCACCACTTTCCCTTTGCTCTCCTGTTGTTGTGGATTACTTATGTCCTGCTCAGAGAACTGCAACCCCCCGGGGCAGTGCCACTGACTGTAGTGTCTTTAAGCCATTCCCAAAAGAGGGACATTTCTCGTTCAAGCACAGTAGAATTGTAAATGGGCTGATTCATCATGCCACGCTCATAACTGTGCCTGATCTACAACAGGGAAGTGCTGCTTTTTCTTTCCTAATCTTTCCTATTGTCATTTTCCTCTACTTCTTTGTATGTTTGTCACTCTCTTGTGACCCAATGTTTCTGGGGTGCCTTGATAGTCGAAGCAGACTTTGTGCTGTTGGAACTAGAGAGGTGAGCAGAGTAAGTCTGATTCCCTGTAAAGACTTCTCTGTTGACACCCACCCCTTGGCGTTCATATGACCTTATGCAGTTGCGAGTGTCGTAAAACCCTCTACTAAAAAAAAAAAATTGTCCTGAGTGATTGATGCCGTGAACTGACACACTGAGAGCTCAGTGAGAGAACTTTGGTAAGGTGTTGATTGAAAGTCAAAAGAATTACAAAATTACATGTATCTCTCTTTTAGTGGTTGATGCTTAGGCTGGTTTGCTCGTTTCAAAAAAGATATACAGATGAAGTGATGTGAAACAGAAAACAGACTTTTTAAAAATAGTTTGTGTGCTACCGGATTTATTTGATATACAGTACAGTGGAACTCAGATTCAATGAAATAAATATTTCACTTATTGCGTACTAACCTCTACAGTTAGGTATGGCAGCATCCACCGCCTAAACACAGATCTGTACTCGGAAGACTGGAATTCAGACATTGGCACCTCCCAGTTTGACGTCCTTTTTTGCAGCTGCACTTGATCAGTTCTTGACAGGCTTTCGCTGCCTCCGGGTTGCTGGTCCAGAACGGCTGAAATCCATTTTCTGTAGTACGCCATCCCCATTCCAGAGGAGAAGGCAGAGGAGCGTTTACATTCAGGGATGATGCCCATTTATTAATTAATATTATTTTATTAATATATCCAGCTTGGTAGGCCACTCATTTGGCATGGTACAGTTTGGCGTTTGCTGTTGGCGGAATGCGGTCGATGGCCCTCTCTTTTTGTGCAAACAGTTGGGTTTTTTTTAAATTGTAGGCATCACTTTTCAGTATACAGTGGCAGTGCTGTACAGAATTGGAATGCATTCCAATGACTCTGTGTATAAGTATAATAAACATACATTTCATTGTCTAAAAATGTAAGGTATAAGGTAGAACTGCCTCCGTACATTGTATTGTGACACTGGTTTGCTTGAAAATGAATGTAAACAATTTAGGAAATTTAAGAGGTGGTCTTCTTTGATCCTGCCTTTCATGCTCATCCTAGCAGCTAGCCGGTTCATCGTCAAGATTACTCTGTAGATGCCAGTCCACATGTGACAAAGGGTCAGTGGAGTCTACCTTTTTTTGCTCAAAAAAGCTCAGATTTTCTGACAACCAAAGCAAAGTTTTATGCATCTCGATTACATCATGTACAAATGTACTGAAAGTAGAGAGAGCTTCAGGTCAGGATGCCATTTTGGCAACAGAGGATAACAGATGAAAGACTGTTCAATTCAGTTTATTGAAATATTGATAAAGACAGAGACTTCAAGTAAAGCACCTTAGTACAGGGGGCCTCGGATTCAACGGAAGACGATGGATTCCCAATTTTTTTTCATTCCTTTTTGCACAGGGTCTGCTTGTTTAAGGTTCAGTGTATTTTCCTGGAATTTTCCAGCATTTCTTTGGTATGGCATCAAAGAAAGAAAATGCCTCTCTTTTGAAAGCAAACTACATGTACTTTCGGTTGAGGAACTTGAAAAGGGGCCAAAAAAAAAAAGCAAGACACTTCACTAAATACTTCCCTCTATTCATGATAACTTGCTCAGTGCCTGTAATTATCTACACAGAAAGCCTCATGTTTGCTCTAACTCTAACGAACACTCAGATTCAATGAAATTGAAGGTCAGGCCTGACGACTTCGTTGAATCCGAGTTCCACTGTACTTTCACGTTCATTACTTTCGTGATTTAAATGTTTGAGCGAAAGTATTATTTTATTACATTTTATGAACAGAGGAGTTTTTCTTATTTCCTGAGGGTATGGAGTTAATTTTTTTTCTAAGTTTATATATTTCAGTTTCAGAAAGCACACAGATACATTGCCACCTTCATTCACTTGGTATTTTGTTTCTTGTTTCAATCTTTTTTAACAATTTTAATGAATGAGTGAACTTCACAGAATGTCCATGATGTTTGATTTTTAAAGAGTCATGATCAGAAATAAAAGTTTTCTGAAAATCAGACTTTTTTCACCACTTGAAAATGTTTTTCTTTGTGGGTCTGTATGTTTTCTCCTTGTACTTGTACCATAACTCTGTCTTCTGCCAGAGCTTGTCGGGCCCCATTGTGTGCCGCCATAGCCTGCATGCCAGGTTGTTTACGATGACCTCTGAAGTCAAGCGAGAGCAGTATTTATTTTGAGACACACATCCTTCATATTTTTGTTGAACTTAAAAATACCTTTAACCCCCCCTCCCCCTGGGCGGTGCTACTGACTGAAATGTCTTTAGAACATTCCCAAAGGACAGTAGAAATGTAAATGGGCTGATTCATCAATGTCATGCTCATAACTGTGCCTGAACTGCAACAGGGAACTGCTGCTTTTTCTTTCCTAATCCTTACTATTGTCATTTTTTTCTCTACTTCTTTTGTATGTTTGTCACTCTTGCAACTTCATATTTCCAGGGTGCCTTTATAGTCGAAGCAGACTTTGTGCTGTTGAAGCTAGAGAGGTGAGCAGAGTAAGCCCGATTCCCTGTAAGCACTTCTCTGTTTACATCCACCCCTTGGCGCTCATATGACCTTATGCAGTTGCGAGCGCCGTGAAACCTTTACTAAAACTTTTTTTAAAAGATGTTTTATACCTCTGCTCATTGACGTTGACACAATTTTTAAAGTTTTAGTAAGTGTTTTACCGCACTTGCAACACAATAAGATCATGTAAGTGCCGAAGATTAGAGGTGTATCAAGAGAGTCGCAAACACAAAAAAAAGGAGGAGAGATAAGGACGAATGTTTGAGTTTGATAGGAAAGAAGAAGCAAACCACACCAGAGCATCCACAGAGAACTTCCCATTCCTCCCCCTTCAACAACAGGACAAAATATGAAGAGAGCCTTTGTGTATTATTTTTAAAAACTTTATTTTGATTTACACACAAAACATGCGCAGCTTCTTCATTCTTCTCCATACCCAAATTCAGTTACTTTACAGAAAAAAAAAGGACATCCTGTACACACATTGAAATTTAACACACACACACATACACACACAAAAAGCATGCATCGTTACGAAAGAAACACCATGTCCACATTACACTAATTAAAACGACTTCTGTTTGAAACATCACAAGTACACACTACTCTTTCTCTATCCCTCCTATTGCATTAAATTACACATAATAACACAGTACTCAAACATACACCAACTGACCTTGTTTCAAAATGAGCTTTTCAGGGGAAAAGCCTAAAAAATGGGATTTAAAAAAAGGCAAGGTGTTTTATACTCTACGTTTCACATGCACATGACACCATAAGCACAGATACAAACAAACAATACATTCAAATTGTCAATAGCACACACGTACTATCAAATATCCACCTCGGCCAGAGATATATATATTATTTATGGGTCCAATAGGTACGGTAGTACCAGTAGTAATAGTACCGGTGGCTGATACCAATAGCCTAAGAGACTTGAACTTGAACAGAAATAGTCATTACATACTCCGCACACTCAAAACACAAAGTGGGACCACACTGGCGGCATACTCCGGTTTTCATGCTGCTAATTCTCTAACCTGAATCGCGTTACGTTACGTTCAGTAGCTTCCACAAGTGATTACAGCACAGCCTGGCCTCAAACATATTATGTGGCACGATGTGGAATCAGGCACTCGTCATTTTTGGGCATAGGGGGTTATTGGTATCATCTTAACGCCTCTATTTATTTGCCTTGCTTTAGGTGAAAAAAAGTATTCATCTATGTTGAATAGAAGTCGAGATGTTAGCGTTTGAAGGAGGTGGGGGTAGCCTGGTTTCTGAGACAAAATGGCCGCCAAAAGTTTGGTCATTTCCATTGCTAGAGAGTACTTGGAAACTGAAAATTTACATTTTTTGTGTCTTTCATCAATGTTTATCAGTAAAATCCACACAGTTGTGTGTTTTTTGATGGACATAATAAATGTTACTGAGCCAAAAAAACAACCAAAAAAATACCCAACAGCCAGAAAAATGCAGGTTTCTGTGATTTCATTATTTTGAAGAGCGCCTGATTTTACCACAATGCCTTACATATAATTGATCAAAGAACTCCAGTCCAACCTGCTTTACGGCCACCTGAACAAGACATTGACCTGTACAAGACATCACCTGTACAAACAGCCATTTCCCGCCTTGTGAGTGTTTTTTATTACGTTACAATGACACTGTCCAACAAGGAAGTCATTTTTTTCCCCAACAAATTTTTACTGTCATTTCCTTTGATTTCCCTAGCTCACACTTTGTAACATTCCTCACTTAACACTCACTTATAAATCTGAAAACACCCAGCATAGTGCTAATTCTAAGTTTAAAAATACAAAACAAAAACACAAACAATCGGTCAGAAATGAAGTTTTTTTTAAAAATAAACTGATCCAAAAACCACACTGACAAAACTTTGTGATTGTCTAAATATAAACTACCAGACACTTTTTGGTCCAAATATAGAGACCTGTAAATTCTCATACAACATGAGTTGTACTCTAGTAGAAGCAGTAGTATAGCCACTGTATTCACTATAGTAAAGTTAAGGTCTGAAAACTTAAAATCAAGTTCTCACAACAGACACATACCCTGAAAAATTACATTTCAAGATCAAAATCAAACGAGCTTCTTCCAACCAGAAGAAGATGAAATGTCAACATCATAAACATGCAATTCAGAAGAGTGTGAAGCATTGCAAACATCATTACATTATGATGATAAAAATCTTGAAATCACAAACTTGCTGCCTGAAATGCAGTTATAAATATCAGCTTAATGATAAAACTCCAACTGCCCACAAACAAACAATGATAAAACAAACAACTTTCGCTGCCCTGATGCACTTGTGTTTCCAAACCACAGTGTTATTGGGCAGCCTCTAAAAAATGAAAACATCAACTGTATCATTTGTTTCATTTGTGAGGAAATTAAAGAAATACCCATAACATTCACAATAATAATTGAAGAGCGCCAATCTTTGACAAATGAACGTTCATTTAGTGTTGACAATAAAAATAAGAACTGAGATTTACAAAGAAAAACAAGACAAATGTGCCTGAAGTACATAACAAAAAACGATAGCAATATAATTATATATATAACAGAAACAACACCCCAACAACATAAATATTTGCTATTCACATTATATACATCAAAAATATATATATTATCAAATTGCGCAGATAAGAAGAGGATATCAACAAACCCTCAGGTGATGCAAGTGTATCCTATTGATGGATGGTGTGGAGATTTTCTTTGATGCTGAGGGACACGAGTGAGGTGAAGAAAATAGCATCTATCTGACTGTATCACTGGGTCCCCTGCTTAGCAGTGACAAGCTATGAGGATTGCGCCAAGATAAAAGGTAATAAATCAGTACATTACTGTAAATCTACTAAAAAAAGAGAGAGTGTCATCTTCTCAGCCTAAATCCCGGCATGGAAAAAGAAATCTGTCCATCGACCAACAATCTCAACTATGCAATAAGAAGAACTTTTTATCATTAGCAAACCACTGTGCAAAACCTTCTTTTTCTTCCTTGGCAAACAAGCAAACGTACAAATTTATTTGTGCTGTGAAGTTTTCTCCAGCCTTTCTTATTAAAATTGAATTGGAAGGACGCTCACAGAGCGAAACCTTGAATAAAATGTAAAAATAAACCCTATAATTCTCTTCCCCTTTTCTCAACAACAGGCTCCTATGCTCTCCTCTTGTTCTCGAAGGGAGGTGGGGACGGGAAAAAAGAATGTCCATCTGTTATCCGACGTTCAAGGACAGATCACAAAGTAAACCAGAGATTCAACTGCCTTGTCACTGACATAACCGGCTACGTCCCTCGTGACTTTTTGAAAGTATACGATTATAAACACGTGTCTTTTTTTTTTCCAAGCCGCAGTTAACACAACTTCGGCAATCCTTAGCACCCTTACAAAGTATGACACATCACATTTTTAAAAATACCCCTCCCCCACCGCCAGTTTAAACACAAAATGTACATGTGAAATAAAAGTTTTCTGGTAAATAATAAAACGCTAAAATGTTTGATATATAATGCTGAAAAATAGTGTTATTTCATTTACAGGTTGTTTACATTTCACATACTGAGGAGTTCCCACAAGGCACCTGCAATTCAGGAATACAAGGGGTACACACCAGTAAAACTACCAAACTTTACACATCACTCAAATGTCAGAGTCATGATGCAGACACACAGATCAAAGCAGGCTGACCAAAATATCAGTGCTCCTTGAATTGTCTTTGAGTCACCAAACAGGAGAAGGAGTTATTAAAAGAGGGTAGTTTGTGCCAGCTCCTTTACTCTGACAAGTGCTTTTTTGTTCAATTGAAGAGCAGTTCCTCTAATGGTGAGCAGGTTACGAGAGGACTCAATAATAGCGATAACCGAGATTGAGAAGAGGAGATGTTTTCAAAACCAATCCCCTCAGATATGCACAATAAATGTTTTCAGAACATTTGATTGTGCAACCATTTACGGTTACAAGAGCCAAATGGTTCGGGGTTTTTTTTCCAAAAATATTCCTGCGGGAACTGTAGAACAAAAGCAAGCTATCACATGAATTTTACAAACTACTGATAACAATGCCAAACTCCTAGAACAACTGATCTCTTAGAGTGAAAAAAAAGAATTGGAACCTTATTCCTGTTTGATCTCAGCTTCAGTGAGGGGAGTATTAGTAGTGGGTGTGGTGGTGGCTGTTGAAGGCTGCGGGGTGTTCTTGTCCCCACCCCATGGGCTCTGCTGTACAGCGGGAGAGTTGTGAAATTTGTCCGCGTTGTTGTCCTCATTGTTGGTGGGTTCGAACTGCGAGTTCTCCAACCTGGTGATGAGGCGTTCATCCTCGTCTCCAAATTCTCCTCCCATCAGAGTCGGTTCTCCTACGACCATCACATCCTGAAATCACAATTCATCAGTGTCAGTACTGTACACCTTTTAATAAACCAGGACAAAAATAGACATCAGATTTGTTTGTATTTTCAACCCTATAATATCTTTGAACTTCTGAAAAATATCTAATAGAGGAGAAAAACAGTTATAAAGAAAGAATTAATCCCATTCTGAAAGCAGAAGTACAAGCTGTCACCAAGAAAGTGAAACAAAGGAAAGCTCTAGGCCTGATGCTATACCAGTTGGAAGTGATTGTAACATTAGAAGAATTAGGCACGGAAAGAACAACAAAGCTATTAAATTCTATCTTTGTCAGTGGTAAACTTCCAGAAGAGATGATCAAGTCCATTGTTCTTCACCTAAAGCATCCGGTGCCTCACAACACAAATTGCGTAGAACAAAAACTCTTACGAGTCATTTTACAAAACATTTTGCAACCAGTACTAATGGAAAGAATAAGAAAAAGATCATAGATCTAAAAACACAATCTAGGCTTTCAGACCTGTAAGTGGCCCTCCGAAAAATAGTCTGATAATTAAAAGGAGCGTAGATGTGCGAAATGTTCGGCTGTAGACAACAGGCCACAATACCCCAGCTTCAGAAAATATAGTAACACTCCAGCCATGCCATGACATTTTACACTATAGGCTGACCTTTTCTGAAATTATCAAACTTCAGCTGTATACAAGACCAACAAATGCTTTCAAGTTTTTTTTCTTTGTTTGCTTATTTTTCAACTTGAATTTTCTTTTCTATTCTCAAGTAGAAAAACAGTTTTCGTTTTAGTAAGTTTTTAATGGCACTTGCAACACAATAAGGTCATTATATAAGTGCAGAAGATTTGAGGTGTTACAAACACAAAAAAGAAGGAGGGGAGATAAAGACAATAGATGTTTGATAGGAAAGAAGAAGCAAACCACACCAGAGCACCCGCCAACCACCCACAAAAAAACCCAGTTTACAGTCAACTTGTACAAACAAGACAATGTACTTACACCTGGCACTGTTGAGCCTAAGTTAAAACCCTGTGGTCCTGGTGACCGCTTCTGTTTCCCTGATGGAGGTGCATCCCGGTTGTTGATGTTGCCAGACCCAGCATTTGTGCTCTGAGAGCCTTTCCTCTTCCTCCTCTTGCTGGGAGGACGGGCAGATTCTAGAAGATGGGGGGAAATGTACCACAATGAAAAACAGGAACAATCTAATGACACACATCGTCGCCTCAGAACTGTTTTGTCCAAAGTGTACTTAGCTATAGAGGGCACTTTGGATTAAATAGTTCTGAGCAACAACATGCTAATAATTGAGCTTGCAAGCTGCCAACAATGCACAATCGAGAGTTTAATTAGGCTGGTAGTGGTAGACTAGTCTCAAATAGACCATAACAGTTAAAACTCTAGTAAAAAAACCCAAAAAAAACAGAAGAGAAGAAAGAGATAAAACATTTATTCGATGGGACAAACTTAATGACTTTGGTATAAAAATGGGGACAAGATGTAGAGTGGTTCTTGCAGACCAGTCTTCCTAGACAGGACGGGTTATGGAGAGTAGAATGTTTACAAGCACACCTAGGATGTAGTAATGCTACTCCATTTACTCAAACTCAAGAAGTGGGAATAAAACAACACACCCTTGAACGACCTCATCAGAATTAAAAACGATCTTTGAAAAAATATCTTCCGTAGAAAGAGTACAAATAGTTATTTTTCTAAACTTTGATGCCAAATCATGACCTCAGTCAACAAAATGACATTCTAAGCATGATTATAGGACAAAAATTAACCCTAACCGTATGTCGTGTTTTACTATCGTATCCATACGACGTGGGGAACTCTGTGCCACCACTTTCCAAAGTGGAAATTAACTCGTTAATCCGATCCGTACCCTTTGCATAACAGTCTGTCAAAATGATTTTTTGAGAAATACTGAAAGTTTCAAAGAGATCCCTCAAACTACCAAGGCCCGTCCCGACGAATTCGAGCTATCCGTGTTATACTGTAATAAATGAAACTTATGAGACTCTCCCCATTAGACAGGCCCAATCATAATAAAATACTGAGAACAAAAAGCCATATGTGAGGCAGCGTGGTGGAATCAGGCTCTCGTCAATTTTGGGGCATATAGGGTTATTGGTATCATCTTGAAGCTTGTTCCCTTGTCTTTATTTGTATGAAAATATTATCCATTTATCTTGAAAACAAGTCGGGATATTTGCGAATGAAGGAGGTGGGGGTCACCTGTTTTCAGAAGTAAAATTAGTGAGAAAATGGTGGCCAAAGATTAGTTATTTCCTTAGCTTAAGAGTCCGTGGTGACTGAAAATCTACATATCCTGAGCCTCAAATCAACGTTTTTCAGAAAAATCCACACATAAATGAGTTCTGTAATGGGCATGAAAGGTTTTGAGCCAAAAAAAGAAATTTGATAAAAATTCCAAAACTTGCGGAAAAATGCAAGTTTCTTCACTTTGATTATTTTGAAGAGAGCCTGATTCCACCACGCTGCCTCACATATTACAAGCATGTGACAAGTCTTCCTTTAGTAAAAACAACGGTTTTAACAATTCATCATTGAAGAGAACAAAGTTAATTATGAGCAAGCGTCCACTGCAAACACAAATATTATGAAGTTTACTTTCACAACATGCATGTATAGAGGAAGGAAATATTTGGGACCAAACTGAATGTAAAGAACTTATGATCCACATGCACTGCTGTAATTCCAACCGCTCAAAAACACTGTTTATCTCACTGTATTCCTTCACCACTGTTTTAGAAGATAAAGTGTCAATATCGACAATTAACGTCTCGCCTTTTTTTTTTTTAAGATGAAGAAAGAAAAGGGCGTGTAGGGTATCAAATTTTGGCTTGATTTTTTTTTTTTGGGTTGGATCATGATATACGAACACATACATATTCATGCATTTTAGTAAAAAAAGATAATAAATGGGAAATAGTTGGACATGCACATAGGCAGAAAGATGCACTGGGCAAGGCCCCATGTTTATATATGGTTCTGAAGGAAAAGGGTTGTGGTTTTGCATAAACATTAAGCACTTCTAAATACCGTACAAAGAAGGTCATTTCAAAGGCAGACCACATAGCCCAGGAGAGATGATACACCAAAGAATTATCCCACATAGGCATCTCATCACAGACGAACAAGTGCTATTTCATCCTAAACCTATGTCAAAAAACACTTTTCTTGCTTGTTTCTACTAAATGTAATGTGGGGGATTTTGAGTCAAATTTTTAGACATATGTAGCTCAATGAACATTGCCAATGCAACATTCAGACTTTAATTTTTAACAAACATTGTTTGATGAAAAGACAAAAATTTTTCCTTTTGTAAAATTTTGTTTTAGTGGGATACAGGGTTGTACTCGGGCGGTGAGACAAGTGTTTTAAAAAATTTCTCTTTCAAGGTGATCAGACGTCGTCTTTGTCCAGATATTAGACCTGCAGTCAGCAAATTTGATCGCTGCAATGGTGCTGAATTTGTTGAGATTTACTTTTATGAGCTGCTTTTAGATGTGTGTGCTCTTTGGACATACAGACCTGAGGACACTTTGCTTTCTACAAATGCGGAAATTGTAAATTCTCTCTAAAACTGGTAAAAGTTAGATAAAATAACAAGGCCTCTCAGGATCTTTTTTTTTCTGATCTCCTTCCACTACATTTGATGAGAATTTGTTAAGTACGGTACTTCTGTCTGTTTTAATATATATCTATTGGTAAAAAATGAAATCAGGTCTATCGTCACGGTATAGAAAGCTCCTAACCTGATAAAGAAAGATTCCAGAATGTATTTCACAAAATATACCCCCCCCCCTCCACATAACTTGCATTAATGCAAAAGGAAACCACTGACAGCCAACACACACAAAATGTGGCCTCAACTTCGCACATGCTGGGAGACTCCTCGAGGCAACATCTTTCAAAGGGTTTACTTCAAGAGAAAAATTATTACAGAAATTTTTGACAATGTGCTATATCAAACCCAGACCTTTGTCTCATGCACTTAGGCCAATTTGGATACGCAACAAAATAAATAAATATTTTGATACTTCTTGAGAGAACATTAAATTTCTGTACCCCAAAGAACAGAAGCCTTCCAGTCCCAGGCCAAATGCCAGCAAGATGTTGCCTCGTAGCTTACCATTCACTGGGTACACAAGACTCAGGCAACCGCAGCAAGCAGGGCAATGAGTGTGTGGGGTACTTAAAATTTGGGACGATGCTTGCCTTTACCTGGTGGCGCGACCATTCGCTGCCATTTCTGAAAGAGAGTTGTTTTGAGACAGTCTCTGGGGTTCAAACCGTACGCCTTGTGCCGCGACATCAGCTCCTGCATGGGCTCCAGGATCACGCACAGCTGAAAAACAGTTGCAGAGAACAAAACATGAGGTATAGTGGGTAAGAAAACAATATGATGACGCATAACTGAAAAACAGTCGCAGAGAACAAAACGTGAGATATATTGGGTAAGAAAACAATTTGAAGATGCACAGCTGAAAAACAGTCGCAGAGAACAAAACATGAGATATAGTGGGTTAAGAAAACAACATGATGACGCACAGCTGAAAAAACAGTCGCAGGGGCTGTTCACCCTGGAAGCGACCTCGTTGAATTGAATGCGTGTTGTTTTTATTGATTTTCAAGAAGAAAAAAAATTAAAGAAGAAAAAAAACAAACAGGGAATCTATCGCCTCTCGCTGAATCCCGAGCTCCACAGTAATGGATCATTCAGGAGCTCAGGAAGAGGGGCACGGTAGCCTCAAGAGGTCAGGGCTCAAAGGGTTAAAAAATGTAAATAAAAATGGCAGTATCTGTTTGACCGTTTTGTGAAGGAGCTTACCCGTAAAAAGTTGAGAGTGTAGTTTGTCAAGCCCATTCTTGTAATATTCTTTGACAACTGTTCCACCATAGTCGGATCTTGCTGAAAGCGAGAAAAATAACACAAAAACAATATTAAAAAGAATGCAAACAATAAAACAAAAGAAAAGAAAACAGATTTTGACTCAGAGCTGATAATCGTTAAGGCCTAACAGAAAGAAATCTCACAGGATTATGAAATACACATGCATAAGATAATCCACCTACAATTTTCAAGGAAGAGATTTCCATTGTGAATATCATGAACCTCAAACCTTGATATCAATATGACAATTTTTGTTTTGCAACCACATTTTTCATAGTTCCTGGTAAGTAATAGACTTGAAATTGGGTTCAGAAACTCTCTCTCTCTCTCCCTAACTACACTGTGGCATCATAAATGGTCAGTAATGCCGACAGCACGCAGGAACTCAATACTCGCTCGGGGGTCCTTGAAATGTACTGAATGTGGGTCACTGAAATGTCCCAGCAGACATGTTTTGGCACGATTATTGGAGGGACGGACATTTCAGGAATACATAGTCTCTTCCTCCTCTCTGCAGGCTCAACAAGAAGGATCTGGGTTGTCTGCTGGCACAATTTTGTGTAGATTTCAGCTAGGGCGATTTTCCACCAGTTCTCATTTGGGAAAGAAGCTGGCGGTCTTGTCGTATGATTTGCGCGGGTTGACCCTTCAGAAACTTTTAACTTCATCTCATAGCTTGAGCTCCAGTTCCAAATCATCTGCTATAATCCAATATTCCACGAAAACCTGTTTTAGTAGTTAAGAGTTTTACGGCATTAGCAACACTAATAGGTAATAGAAGTTCAGAAGATTAGAGGTGTCACTAAAGAGTAACATACAAAGAAAAGAAGAGATAAGGACAATAGATGTTTGATAGGAAAGAAGGAGCAAACCACACCGAAAAACTCTGAAAACCTATGACCATACAAAACACTAGGCTTAATATGTGCGAACAATGAACATCTTTCACCATGCATGAGAATAGTAACCTGCATCATAACTCAATCAATGCTTAATAAAGAATTTTTCACTCACCTGCATAGCAATAACACTGCGTGGAATCAGTTCTCTATGCTGCCGGATGGCAAAATGCCACGACCGTATCCTCATAAGGTCATCAAATGTGAACTCAAGTATCAATCTCCCCTCTGTTATCACCTGCTGAGACAAAAAATACACAATTATTCTCACCTTAGAAAGGACAGTTTAGTTTTTGTAGAGGTTTTACGGCGCTCGCAACTGCATAAAGTCATATGAGCGTCAAGGGGTGGATGTCAACAGAGAAGTCACTCTGCTCACCTCTCTTGCCTCAACAGCACAAAGTCTGCTTCCACTATGAAGGCACCTCGAAAATAGCAGTTCACAAGAGAGTGACAAACATACAAAAGAAGTAGAGGGAAAATGTCAATAGTAAGGATGAGGAAAGAAAAAGCAGCAGTTCCCCCTATGTTGTTCTGGCACAGTATGAGCATGACATTGATAAATCAGCCCATTTACAATTCTGCTGTGCATACTAAGAACATTTATTAAAGATGAGGAGGAGGAGATGGTAAGCTCTTACAAGTATCTTGGAATAACAATTGATAACAAGCTTGACTGGCATCCCCACGCTGCTCTTGTGCACAAAAAAAATAAATCCGAAGAATGTTCCTTTTAAGGAAATTAAGAAAAAATTTTTCGAGTCAATAATAAAATTATGTCCCTTTTATACCATTCTTTGATTGATGGCGTGCTACTATTTTGTATTTGCTGCTGGGCTGGGAATTGTAAGGTGAAAGATAAAGAAAAATTCGACAGAACCATTCAGAAAGCCAGCAAGATCTCTGGATATGATTTTAGTAGAATTGATGAAATGTACAACACCACAAGTTTGTTTTAGTAGAGGTTTTACGGCGCTCGCAACTGCATAAGGTCATATGAGCGCCAGAAGATTAGAGGTGTTACAAGCGAGTAACAAACATAAAAAAGAAGGAGGGGAGATAAGGATGATAGATGTTTGATAGGAAAGAAGAAGCAAGCAGCGAACCACACCAGAGCACCCGCCAACCACCCACACCACAAGTTTAAAAAAGATAAAAAGCATTATAAACGACCCATCACCCCCCTTTTTCCACGCAAATTGTCAGATAACGCAGCAACAGCATGTACCTCTAAAAACAAAGCAAGATTTTAGAGTTTTTTCAATCATCTAGCGAGGCTATTGTCAAAGTTTAAGAAAACCTCTTCAAAAAGTTGTCCTCATCATGAACTGTTAAAAAATTTTATTGCATAAATTTACATAATAATGACCTCAGAAATAGTAAGACAATGCACTGCATAATAAGCTACTTACATTGGTGAACATGGGCTTTCCGTGTTGGGTGACCATAAGGGCATGGTCACAGTCAAGAGTGATTGTTGTATTATGAAAAGATTCCTTTGGGTACTTGAGAATATAATGCAGATCTGTCACCTCACCTTCAAAAATACTTCGAAAGTAGCGAGGTATAAGAGTGCGTCCAATAGCTGAAAAGCAAACAAGAAAGACAACATAAATCATAAGCCATGATTTTTTACAATTAAAATGAACACATGCCAAAATAAAATTCTGAAAAAATTAGGCAGCAATATATAACCAACAGTATAAAGTAGGCCTACCAAGGGTAGAATATTTTTACTGTATGTACATTCTTTTCTCTAATCCCCATCTTTCCAAAAAGTAGGAGCCATATTTACCACTCCAGTCATCTCAAAATACACACAGTAATGCTAGATGCTAGAACATGGGTGAACGTTCAAAGACATCAAAAAGCCCGAAGAGGTAAGGTGGGAATTTTTAAAAACCTGAAAGTCATCGTACAGAAAGATAACATGGCGAAGACAACAAAACACTCACAAAAAACAATAAGTCTTAACATATTCATGGGCCTACCATGCACTCAAAAATAAGGCAGCTGTTCAGGACTACTCTGTCCTGCTTCAAGACCCTCGTTTTGCATCTTGCATAGTTGCAGGTTTTTACTCCAGGGTTCCTGCCCTGAACTTCCCACCAAATTCAAGGAGATTTCAATGAGGTTTCAAGGAGAAATTTTAAAAATTCAATTTGGTCAAGAAATTCAAGCTGAAAGCCTATTTCCCATGCGCCTACACTTGTCTGTAAAGAATCGTAGTTTCAATTTTCCGACAAAACTTTCTTCATGTCCAATCTAGCAAAATTCAATGAGTTTTTAAGGAGGTTCCTCAAATACAAGGAGTTTTCAAGGAGATTTTTCCTTGAATGCAAATTCAAGTTATTCAAGGGGGCTACAGGAACCCTGTTTTACACACGTACGTGCCAGCCCCAGTCTAAAAAAACTGGCAGACTTAAGTCTGTTGAGGTTAAAAAAACGGAGGGGCCGGCATATTTATACTGGCGAATTTTCACCCATGTGTTAGAATGGCAGAGAGATTTTTCACACTTACTGTAACGCTTTGGGCCATCTTCCAGACAAAATGTGAGGGTGAGGGACGCATCATCCTCAAAGAACTCCGTGGTAAATGAATCCCACCACAGATTGTCACTGTCCTGTAACGTAAAGATTTATCTGAATTATAAATGAGACCGAAACGGGATACTTACACAAACTTTCTGCTGTCAACAATGCATCACATATCTACTGACTACTGAAAAAAAAAGAAGTCAAATTTCATCAGTGTGCTTGAGAAAATGGACTTTTACCATCAAAATGCAAACAAGGCTAGTTTGATTATCTCCCTTTAAAAAAATATTAATATCAGAGGCAATAAATGAAAAGCCTGTGTTGGCAAATAGCCATGGTTTATATTCTAAGTTTCCACATATAATTTGGCGCATGAAGGGCCATCATGAAGAAGAACAAAGGTCTGCAATAAACAAATGGAACAAAGAGTATTAACCTAATTACCAATCATTCTGAGATCATTTGTGAAGAATAGAAAAGAACTGTCAATTTCCACAGGCTCTCACCTCTGTGCGATGCTGCAATCTTTTGTTGAGCTCATATATTCTGTAATCAGGCTGGCCCATGTACGGCGTTGGTCTCCTGTAAAAAGTGGAAAATGGAGAGGAGTAGAAAGGATCCTGTCCAGGCATTGGAGGACCCCCTGGCATGACTCCTGGAGGCATTGGTCCTGGTCCTCCTGGGATGGGACTCGGTCCCGGTCCGGGCATTGGACCCGACGGCATGGGGCCTGAGGGCATAGCACCCGGGGGCATGGGGCCCGAGGGCATGGGACCTGGCGGCATGGGGCCAGACGGCATTGGTGGTCCTCCGGGCATTGAGACACCCGGGCCGGGCCCTGGGCCAGTTGGCATGTTCAAGTTTGGATTCATATAGAAGCACTTTGTTCCAGTCAAACAACTCACATTTGATGCACCATTGTTTTATACATTTGTCTTCAATCATATGAGACGTCTTTCAACATTTTGTGACTCCTTCATCTGTCATGCCTTTGGTTTCTCCTTCACAGAGGAAAAAAGGAAATCTTCACCACTATTCACACAGCGAAAAAACTTAAGTTAGGCCAGCAGCTCTCTGCTAAAAATGTACTGCCCTTTCTAAAAGAAGTTTAGAGGTAAACAAATCATTGTCTTTTTCAACAAAAGTTGCTTCTGAGGCACGATACTATTTTTCAGGAAACTGAATTGCAAGACCCACAGATAGCCGAATCCTAAGAGTATGTGTCGCAAGATGTATACAAATCCTACTACACGACACTACTAAACTGGACAGCTGGCATTTGGCTTACTATTAGAAAAAAGATTAAGTTTATGTTATAATCTTGAACTGGTTAGACTAAGAGCAAGACTTCTAGTAACTCTGCAGTAATACAAAGCAATTTGATGATCTGGATTAGAGAAAGAATTCTACTTGTTTAAAGAGTAGCCAAATTACATCTACCCATGACCTACTTTTATGATTGCAGTTTAGACATCAGAAGTAAGAATTTAGCCCTAGTATTATGAAAAATGACACAGTGGGACTCTTCACTAGTGAAAAATTACACTTGAAGCTGTGGTTACAGCCCACCTTGAGTTAAACCATGGCGATCTGAGAAAAACCTTGGCTTTATCCACATACAAAATGTTATTGTTTCTGCCTAAAAGTACTGACACAAAGTTTAGGTTTATAATTTGGTTTTGGCTACAATAATTGCCATACTATACCGTGAATCAATATTCCAATTCTCGTGTCTTAGGTTAGGGCCAGGACAAAGATCAGGCCCAAAGCCGCTCCCCCCCCCCCCCCCCCCAAAAAAAAACACCCTCTCTCAACCCTCTCTCTCTCTCTCTCTCCCCCCCCCCAACACTACGGTTCTCTATATGATAATGATAGTGAATAGTAACAAAAGGGGAATACAAAAGGCATGATTACAGTCGAACCTGTGTAAGACAGCCACCCTTTGTCAAGGAGAAAAGTGGCTGTATTATAAGACAGGTGGTCGTATTTAGGCAGGACTGATCAGGACGTTGAAAACAAATCATTCCCTTCTTAAGTCCAACCGAAAGTAGCCTCATTGTTACTGTTTTTGTTTTTGTTGGCTTGTATTTGGTTTGTTATTTTTATTTTGTCACTGATTTTGCGCAAGTGTGACGATAAAACGAAATGTGTCAGGCGAGGAAGACTAGAGTGCCATGTTAAAACAAATCGCCACCACTCGGAGAACGAGCCATGCTTCTGTCGCAAGTTTCATGTTGACGTCCATTGCTTACTGGGTAAACAGTGACCACTCATCTCACTTACGATTTGTTTAATTTTGAGTTCTTGGCGGGGCGTGGGTTATGAGGGATCACACGCTTCCCTCACCAGCAGCTGGAAATTTTGGTCAACAGTGGGAGGGGTCACGCAACATGATCGGTTGGAAGGACTACCTAACAACAACGACAGGTGATTGGATATGACGGCTCACCCACAACGCCAGGAGCCAAAGCATAATTTATGACAAAACGTAATTGAGTCACTAAGGTGGTGTGACAGGGGTGTGTGTTAAAATATGGTGGCCGTGGCCGCTTTGGACAAGTGGCCTTTTTACAGTGAAAATTATTACAGAAAAAAACGCAAGGCAGGGGAGAAATGGAAAGTGGCCGTTTGTACAGATGGCCGTCATGGCAGGTTTGACTGTAGCCTAGGCTACAGGGTACAGTGAGAAACTTTCAAACAGAAGCAAGGCATCTGAGGTAATGTTTAGGATTTAGGTTAGGCAGGGACTCAGCAGAATTTTTCAGTTTACCAGAATTTAGGTTTGTCGAGAAAGAAGTCTAATATTATAAAGGCTAAGGTCAATTCTGACTCGATTCTAGCCTCATGCGTGAACTGTACTGTGACTGACATTGTTGTTTCGTCCTGTGAAGTGATAGATCTAGATCTAGATCTAGATTCCAGATCTTCTCTCTTCTAAAGTCTCTAGTTTTGCAGTCCACTCTTTGTAGTTTTCAACTCTTTAAAAGTCTTGCATGCTCGGTAGGCTACACAGTTAACACAGGAAAACAATTCTACTGATTAAATATGACAAGCTATGGCCCAGTGTGGGAGTCATCCCTTCGTTTCACACAAAACTAGATCTGTACTCTAGATTCTAGCAGAAAATCAAAAGGAAAAGTCAAATAAAAATAAAGCGTGACTGATCAATCCAACAATGAGACGGGCTGAGTCGAGTGAGACAGACCAATGCCAATATTATTGTTTACAACTGACTCTTTACTTTACGTTCCCTTGAGCGTTCCCACAAAAAACACAGTGATTTTAACAACAGACAAAGAAAAAGCACCCTGTAAAATCAGGAAATCTTGCACTATACGCATAACATTATTATTAACTGTATGCCGTAGTCCTTTAGTACTGTCCATATCCAGATTCTAGATCTAGATCGGGATCATGTCAACACACAACAATCTCCTACACGATCACTTCGAATCGATTGCTCTTCACGAGTGAACACCAGCACGAAAAGGCTTTTGAAAAACAAACTTGTCCAGAAGAACACAATAACCTTACTGGTAGAAAAATCTACTTGACCATTACTTCTTCACTTCAAGCATGTCAGAAAAAAATAAGACGCAGTTGTTCCGTTTTCTCTAAAGAAAATCAATCGCTGCTTCATGGGTTGATAAACACAGAAACACAGTAGGCCTAATCATCGCCATTACAGACACGCAAAGCATTGTGGGTAAGGAACTTTCACCCCGCCTTGCAGCAGACGGCACGGCAAGCAAACCTAAACCCAGCGGCAGCGGGCAGAGGCCGTCGTGCGTGGTCTAGGCCTCGGGGCTTTGATGGCCGTTGCAACTTCGATTTTTCTGTTCATCGCGGACACCGATCGATGTTGTCAATGTTGTAGACCTCGCACTACGCTTCTGTTGTTCGCTTTTGCATTTTCAACTAGTCTAGCTGGGATTCCATGATACAAGCATATTTAATTCCCCACCTCCCGTTATAGTGGTTTCTGTGTTATATGAAGACGCGAAACCGAGGGGTTGACGAGGGGGAAAAAGGGAGGGGGGGAGTGGTATAATTCTCAGACACCAAACATTCTCGCAACAAATGGACCTAATCATACAACATTCTAATGAAAACTCTGATAAAAGAAGCATACGGACAACGAGTTCAGTACAGAGGCGACAGGCACAGTACAATATAACAAGAAATGAGTGGGCTGTTGGCTAGGCATAATATATAATATATATATATATATATATATATATATATATATAGAGAGAGAGAGAGAGGGGGGGGGGGGGAGAGAGAAAGAGAGAGAGCAATTCTGTGCGACTACGGACACGTGAAATTTCTTAGTGCAGAGAGGGAACGTGGTTTACACATGAACACATAATGCGTCACATGATATTTTCAGCCGTACGGTACTGTATGTTGGACACGTTTAAGAGACACGATACATTTAGGCCTATATCTTTGACTCTAAGCACCAAGCTCATTCAAATGTACTCTATTCCTGTCACCACACATTAACCCTATCCGTATGTCTTGTTTTACTATCGTATCCATACGACGAGAAAACTCTGTGCCACCACTTTCCAAAGAGGAAATTTACTGGTCAATCCGATAAGTACGCTTTGCATAGCAGTCTGTCAAAATTATTTTTTGAGAAATACTAAAAGTTTCCAAGAGATCTTCGCACTAGAAGTATTCTAAAATGGGAAGAATACAACCCCTGGGATACAAAATGACCCAAGGTGTATGGATAGGGTTAATGAAAGATCTCGGCTTTGCAGATCTAAAACAAAAGAGTGACCCCGTTCGCCACGAACTGGAAGAGCTATCGAAAGCAACGTCAGGTCTGTCCTGTCTTGAAAAGCCCAAAAGCAATAGAGGGAGTTAATCCCAAGTAAAAAAAAACAAAAACAGAGAAACAAGACTTTGGCACCGTTACACCGATTGAATTATATATTTCCTAATCACCCGACTTATATATAAATATACGTGTGCCATGAACACTTGCTGTTTGATAGAGGTGCATCGTACAATGATATATATACAAACAGCGGGAGATGCTTGATAGCCCGAAAATCGGACTTCAAACGCACAACGGTTACATTCAACTTTTCTTTATTTTTATGAACTGACAGGTCATCTGACTCGGAGAGACACGGCCATTTTAGCGACTCGTATGTCATCCTTAACCCCATGACGACGCAACTAAATTTTGGCATAAAAAAAAGAAAATCAACGAGAAATCAAAACAGGGATTTTTTTTTTTTACACCAGTCGTATGGAACACAGTATCTTCCTCTAGAAAGATTTAAGGGCGGTCATAGTTCATTGGATACGTTTTCACAAATTTAAAGTTTCTACATTGTGCATTAAACTCAAAGAGAGCAGGGCATAAAGAATCCAATCTGTTTACAGATTTCTGATTTCGGAAATGTGTTAGAAAATGACCCACCACACACAGTCGTTATTTGTAAAGTCTGGTTCTTTTAAATCTTTGAAAAGGTTATAATTTCACCTTCTCAATCAGATAATGTTCCTTACTTTAAAAACGTTACTTTTTACAACTCACTGATGAGGATCTTGAAGGAGTCACGAGAGACATTCAATATTTCTATCTCCTATTAGAAAACACCACTTCAAAAATAGAGAAATACATAGAAATGTCTATCAGGATATTAAGATAAAACGATAGTCTGAATTGATTCCACAAAAATATACGAAACAAAATTACACACATGCATTACACATATTATTATATCTCCTCTTTTTCTCTCATTTGTTCTGTGCCTGTCTTTTTTTCTCTTTCTCACACAAAAGTCTACAACATCTATAAATCCATCAGACATGTGACCGGGGGCTATCGTTGTCTAGAGCTTAAGGTGTTTGCATCTCATTTAATAGGTCTGGGGTTCGAATCCAGACAGCGGTGGAAAATATTCATGTCTAAAATGTTCTCCTTTCACCTCCTTCCCTGCTCTCTAACAATGTTCTATCGTCTGCTTTCGTCTCCACTTTCTGCCCCCACCCTCACCTCCTTTGTCCCCTCCTCTGGGCTCCTGACTCTTTCTGTACGGTAGCCTTTCTACTGCAACTCATTGGCTCCTTCTTACTGCCATCTTTCAGCCACACCCCTGATCTTATGGCAAGTAAGATCTCACACCTAGCCTTCTCTGACAAAAGGAAAAATCTTGGAGGTCCGAAGTGCAAGTTGCGAACGTTAAAGATCCCTTGATAGTTCAAAATCAATACAAGTAGGCTTCGGCCGCCATCTGGGCAAAATTTCAAAATTTCTTATGAACTGAAAATCGTGCTCATAGGACATTATGCAGTCGCGAGCGCCGTAAAACACTCAACAACAATTTTTTTTAAAAGTTTGACCAGTCTGGTAGAGAGTAAAAAGAAGTAGGGGGTGGATATTTGAATAACAGAAAGAGTATCAACGATCACATGAACATATCATTCCTTTTTTCACGTATGATTTGCAGCTTAAAGGAATACTAAGGTAGAAAATTTACTTGATTAATCATTCAAAGAAAGATAGCTGAGGTCTCTCTGTTAATCTCCAAAATAACCATACGTCCATGCCCCATTCCCAACAGCCACCTCCATTATCACACCCATGTCTTTCCCTTGTTTTTCTTCAGTATTCATAAGTATTCTCTGCTACATATATCGACAGCTGAGCGCAAGAAGTGACCATATCACTTTTCAGTTTCGAGAAAAACAAGTTTGAAATTTTGACAATTTTGAAATCTTTAGACACAGTAAAAAAAAAACCCGCTAATATCTCTGACACCGAATTAAGCAACGGCTTAGATATTTACAGAGGTAAAAAAGTGGCTTCTTAAAATCTCACTACTCATATCCATTATTCCATTTCGAATAAAAGTGAATAAAGTCACTTCTTGCCTTTTTTTTTTGGTAAGTGTTTTACGCGCTTGCAACTGCATAAGGTCATATGAGCGCACAGGACATACCAAACATTTTCAGTTGGTAGGAAATTTTGAATTTTGCCATCGATATATATTGGGCTTTTCATCATAACATGCAGCAATAGGCAAGTAAAAAGGTTTATGTACGTCTAACTTGCAGGCGTAACAAAACTCACACTGTCGAAAGATCGCTCTGAATAGTTTAGTTTTAGTAAAGTTTTAGTAAGATTTTACGGCGCTCGCAACTGCATAAGGTCATTATATTATGAGTGCAAAGGGGTGGATGTCAAGAGAGTTCAAAAGTCCAAACGGGGAATCAAGCTTACTCTGCTCACCTCTCTAGCCTCAACACCACAATGTCTGCTTCCACTATCCAGGCACCCCGGAAATAGCAGTTCACAAGAGATTGACAAAAATACAAAAGAGGTAGAGGAAAATGACAATAGTAAGGATGAGGAAAGAAAAAGCAGCAGTTCCCCCTATGTTGTTCTGGCACAGCATGAGCATGACATTGATAAATCTGCCCATTTACAAATCTACTGTGCATAAGAACAAGTTAATATCCCCCCTTTGGGAATGGCCTGACAACAACTTCAGTCCGTAGCACTGCCCTGGTGGGGGTTGCTCTGATTAGAGATATGTATGGATCTAAACCTCTGGTTTCTTCTTGTTGGAGGAATTACACCTCTACACCAACGGAAGCCCTCCTTCAGTCTCTGCTGTGAGCAGCACAATCACAATCTAACGACCGTCTCCCCATATAGCAACACTCTGTCACTCACAATTGTAAATCTGAGCTGCAATTCTTACTTCAAGCCTATGTGAGAAGAAATATTCAATTTTGGACAAGCCGAGTAGGCTTATCACAAAAGTGCAAGCTGCGCATGTTAAAGATCCCTTGGTGGTCTGAAACTGATAAGAGTAGGTTTCGGCCGCAACCCGGGTAAAAATCAACCAACCAAATCCTACCAACTGAAAAAGTTTAATGTGTCCCGCGCACTCATATGACCGTATGCATTTGCGAGCACCGCAAAACACTTACCAACAACCCCCCCCCTCACAATTGCAGGTGTGAAACCATGAAAGGCGAGTGAAAGTATGTTTCAGTAGGAAAATAAAGCTAAATACAGTGGCCACCACCTAAGAACCTGGTGATTGGAAAGAATAAAAAGCAGGTTCTTGGCAGGCCTGTTTCTAAAAAGATTTAAAGTAACACAACTCAGTTCCTACCCATTGGCTTCCCTTGATTATTCTACAACGATGAAATAATGACCCACAGGCCAAAGACCTCCAACACATTCTGATTAACGCTTAGTATGAAATTAACGGTATTAATAAAACGTTTATAGTACCTAGCCAGATCAGTCGCTTTTTGGACATAAGTAGTGTGTCAATAAAGCTTCCCTGATTTTCCTATTTCGGATGAAAAAATATTAAAGTACTAAATCTTTGAAAAGTAAACTATAGTGAATGAATATTGCACTTAGCAGCAAGCAAGTTTGTTGAAGGTAAGTTTTGTTCTGCAATAGTAGCTAATCGAATTTTGAAAAGGCACTGGCAAAAAGGGAGATGGCAACATATTGCAGACAGACTAGAGATATTTCAAACAGGGCCATCTCTTGTTCAGGATAAAAACAATCAAATGTAAGCTCCTTTCCATTTTGTGGTGTAGATTTTCATACAAAGATGACACATATCCATATTCGAATGAGAAAGGAATTATCCAGACTGCTAAGAAACTTGTCACTGACCATGAAAGAAGAACACAACAACTAAACTAAAGTTACACAGGGTTATTTATAACAATAAGCTTACCAATAATATTTTTCACCCCCCCTCCCCCCAAAAAGCAAAACAAAACAAAAGGAACAACAAAAACAACAAAACAAAGTAAAACATTTTCACATTTTGTTGTCTTATTACAGCCCAAAGTAAACTTGAATACAACAAATGAGTCACATCATAAAGAGCCTTTTGAACAAGTAGTAGGGTCTAGCCTTTTGCGTCGGGGAAGAGTGATTTGAGTCCTGGCACATACGATGTGTGTGGGCTGCACACATTAAGTTAGAGAGCGCTAATTTAACAACTATCAGTTGTTTCTCAAATTTGGCGCTTAAAATTTTTGTCTCTGACAATTTCTTTAAGAAGGATAAAATTTGTTGAACATTTATAATTAACTATACATTTTAAAACATTTTAGAGTGAGAGTTTTTTTTAAATAAAGTACTAACATTAGGTCTATCCAGAAGGCACAACATATATTACAGTTGAAGCGTAAAACTTACTGTATCATATGATCTCTCTCCATGAAACCAGGCATGGGCCCAGGCATTGGTCCTGGCATTGGGCCCGGCATCGGTCCTTGCATAGGTCCCTGCATGGGTCCTGGCATGGGTCCAGGCATAGGTCCTTGCATGGGTCCTGGCATGGGTCCTGGCATGGGGCCAAGCATCATGGGCTCTCTTTCCATTGGTGCTGGCATGGTTGGGAATCTAGGCATCAACATCCACAATGCCTACTGGCCAGTAGCAATTTATTTTGACAAGTTCAAAATTTAAGATGTCTTGGTATGGGGAAAAAGAAAAAAAAAGAAAACACTTTTATTAGACCATATTGTCAAGTTCAAAAACTCAAAATGTAAAAAAAAAAATAAAAGAGAGAAATTACATCGTCGACCCAGCTATAGCAGCACATAATCTTAGTACTGTAAGTCAACGGACAATGTTTGTGGTTAAAATCAGAAGGATAGACTGTGCCATTATTTTATATTCAATTATTCAGTTTCTTGAGCAATCACAGACCTGGTGCCAACAACAGTTGCTGTTTTAATTAAATCCATTTTCAAACCACTACTGTATAAAATGTATTTAAAAACTAGGCCTACTTGATATGTTGTAATGGAGAACAATTTGCCTTCTGTTCTCAAGGATAGAGAGCGGAAAAGTTGTGTATTCTTAAGGGCTCCCTCCTCTCATGTATAGAGGCCTTTTGTATCTTTCTCTCTACTCTCTCTTTCTGTGTACTATGTGGGTAGTTAATTTTACTATAGTAGTTTGGTACGCTCAATTTACTTTTCACTGTCATCATAGTTTGCGGCTGGTGAAATGTGTGACTTTCCATACACTACTGCTTCACATAAACCTAAAATACAATGTATAAAGTACGATTGGATATTAAGTTACAAGGAACAGTGTACTCAGGCACAACATGATGATTATGGTGGGAACAATGACTATGGGTCTACTTTCTAGACACTTCAACTTCAGTGATAAAACTGAAAGCAGAAAAAGTTTACTGTCCAGAGAAGATCTTACCTCTTCCCCAACCCCTGAAAACATTTAATTTTTTTTTCAATTTTGTATAGTTTGTTTGGTGGGAAAGCTTCAACCATGGTTTTACGAGAACCTTTAGAGCTCGTGAAAGAAGAGATCCACTTTGAGAATACTTTTGCCAAATCCTCAGCACCGTTATCAGTTCATGAATAAAAACAGCAACCTCTCATCATCTGACGAGGAGAGTAGCAGTCATTTTATTTTCTTCAATTAGTTTCAAGTCATAGACGAGGATCAGTGCAGATATTATAATGAATTTGAGTAAAGGACGAGCTCTGAACTAAGAAGTAGAAATAATAACACTACAAACACAAAGATAGAAGACCTTAGAGTGGTTCAGTTACATGAAAAACCTGATCATTCCCAGTATCTGCTTTCTTTTAACTTGAGACCTGCGGAAGGATCATTTTTACGTATGTATAAAGGCTAATCACCGAAAGACCAGCTTTTACAAAGGCAACAACGACACTAACTCCGTGGCAACTCAGAAGCTCCAGAAGCAGATTGTGTGTGAGGGAAAACTTCTTTGAAAATCGGGTAAAAATGTTATTTGGGAACAATCTCCCCCGAGTCAGTGGTGTCAGCTCCAATGGCGGACACGTTCAACAGATGTTTGGATGAATACTGGAAGGATCTCCCAACAATCTACCACCCCAATTGCCAAGACTGATTAGAGCCTGCACGCAATGCATACTCAGTCAATTTACCAGATGGTTGAACAGGCTCTTCTAGAGCCTCAACCGACTAAAATCGTCAATGCCAATGAGAATAAAAAACATATCTGTTGCAAACCTTTGACGTAGCTTTGCTGAAAACAAAACTTGACTCATCATGATATTTCGAGTCAACACAATCTTGTCAAATGCTCATGATAAAAGAACTCTGTTACACATGCATAGTGTGATACAGTAGAATAACTGATTGCTGCTGCTACTGAGTACCATACAATACAGAGCAGAAAAGAGGGCTGTTGTGTTAAGTTATAAAACTCCTCACTTCTCACCATTAGAATTTCAAGACTAAGCTCATCCTTTCCTAGAGATTCCCACATATCTTATTATTATCATGAAGATCTATTGTCCTGTTCCATTATCATTGTATAGTAGCTGAATAGAGTAGATACTAAAGCTTCGAGAGACAGTAAATCAGGGGTTTGTATTTTGTGTCCACATCTCTTCCAAATTCTATAAATAAACAAAGGATAATTGGCGCTTTTTCGGTAGTTCCGCCCCCGCATTTGTTATTCGCCGGTTTTGGCCCCAAGAGTAGGGGGGCTTGCCCCCCTGACCTAATAAAAACAAGGTGGGGGGTTTCAGGGGGGCATGCCCCCCTGAATTTTACCACAATTTAATGTTTTGCAGTTGTTAGGTTTGACATCTTAGCTTGCCGTGAATCAAACGTATATAGATCTAGATGTAGGTCAGGCTCTATCAAATAAGGGGGGTGTGGGAACTACCGAAAAAGCGCCGGATAATTAACAAACGACAAATCTGAATATATATGAGTGTGACAGGACATGAAATAGTAAAATAGTTGAGCAGGGGGTGGGGGCTGGATGTGACACTTCTTTATCCAAGATAAATATCTATAAATTGCTCTACCTTTCGACAATCATCGTGTTATGATCATGAATGAAAGTGTAGTACTAGTAGAGAGTAGCTTTAGAATGGTTCGAGTTCTAGCGTGGGGGAGGAGGGGAGGCACTCATGGTCAAAGCAATGGAACCTCCATGCTACTACTAGAGATCTAGATCTAGAATCTAGATCTAGATCTAAGTTCCCCCTTCTATCTAATCCTCATCGGGCAGTCCGGCCAAGAGAGACACTACTGGCACTGGGACTGGGGCTGTACAAGACAAGTGGGAGCCCTGCAACCCATCCCTCAAAACTGCAACATCTCCGCCTGGCAACTTTTCACATTATAATATAGACCTAAGCTGGAAGGACTTCCCTAACGAGCGACCACCCCATCAAACACAATAAAGAAGAGGCCTTTAGAACCCTAACCCTACCCGCCCTAGATCATCAACCCCTACCCCTCAGACTCAGGGCCCCAGCTAGCCCTCAATTCTGCTCTGTCTCATCTATCATAGTGGTCGCTCGTTACGGAAGTCCTCCCCCTAAGCTTTATTTTATTCCAAACGTGAACGTCAGTCTCCACTGCTGTTGCAAAGACAATTCATGAGTACAATCGACGACAAAATAAAATTAGCCTACCTCATTTGCTCTCACTTCTTGTATCATCAGCTTGCAACCCGCAGCTGTGTGTAACAAGTTGGGAGCACTGAGAATAGTGTGTCGTCTGCTTGCTTACTCTGATATGCTGTTTCCAATAAGTCCTTCAAAAATGAATCAAAGGAAAGCCAAAGTCGTTACAGATATCAGTAACAGGTGAATTTACACAACGAACAAATACACCACAATATTGTAATACAATGTCATCCCCTTTGTCTGAATTTCCACTAAAAATCAATAACACTTTGCTAGGTGAGTGCTCTCCGGGCCGAGGAATTCATAAAGTCTAATGGATGAATTTACAGCGATTTTTCTTCATATCGATACTATAATATTCCTACTTTGTGAGGAGGTGCTTTAAGTCTAAGATAGAAGAAATCAAAAACTAAATGAGATAAACGAACTCATACTAATACAAACATTTTAAACTTAAAATAGTTAGATTTTGTGTTGTTTCATTTAATACCAAAGAGAAGACAAAAGTAGTCGCCACTATTGTGTTTCGTTCAAAGTATTCGAACCTCTAAACCGTGAGCGGAAACACTGCCAGGTAAAATAGTCTCGCATTGCCTCATTATATAAATTGAAAGCCAAAACAACAGGTGAATAGGTCTAACCTTGGTCAAAATGTTCTAGGCCCTATATTGTGTTTTGTTACCTAGGTTTCGAATATATACCAATAGCTCAAACGTCCATAATATTCTAAAATGTGCTAACACCACCTGAAATTATCTTGTAGGATCTTTACTTTGCTTTGCCCCAAAGAAGTTAGCTTGCTTTGCCTCCGATATCGAGTGCTCTTTATCGATACCAAACTCGATACCCACGGGCCCACGGTTCTACTTTCGTTTTTCATTTGTTGTGATTGTTGTGTTGAGAATGTGTTGATAGTTGATCGACCTGCGTTGTTGAGCAACGTGCCTGCGTTTTGATTTGAGAAACAGCAAGTAGATCTAGATCTAGATCTAGATCTAGAATCTAGCTCAGGGTAAGATAAAGCTGAAACTGTTTGTCGGTAAATATTTCTCTGATCAGTGTTTTATTGCTTTTATTGGCATCCCGCCGTTGTCGTTGTTTTATCGAAGTGGCTAGCCGTACAAGACTTAAGTACGGCAAGCCGTACTTCGATCTAGGTTTGGCCCTATCGACTCAAGCCTGTTTAGTACACAGGTCTCAATAGATCTAGATCTAGTAATTATTCAGGTTCAAATACCATGCAAGTCAGTAAGGCACCTTTTGGTTTTGTCTGAAATACGGTAAATTTTTACTTTCACTCCTGCACACAGATACACTGTTTCAGGGGTCAAACTGCTGTACTGTTTGCTGCAGATCACACATAAAGCCACTAAAACTGTCGCAAATCAATTATTTTCAAGACAATTTCAAATCTAACTGTAAAATATCAAATTATGGGTGTAAAAACAGGGGGGCATGCCCCCTGTAACCCCCCCAGATTTTCTTTTACCCCCTGGAACCCCCCGATTGGTCCAAAGCATGTCTATCTCGGTTAAAAACAATCATATATTTCAAAAAACATTAATTTGCGACGGAAATGAAGTTGATATTCGTGTTCAGCGCATCAATATTTAGTAGAAAATAGACAATTGGTAGCTGAGTGTGAGACGGGAGGGAAAGTAAAAAAATACCTGAAATACAAATACTTTAGGCATTGCAAACTAAAAATTTCATTTACAATTCAGCAATCAATATTAAGTACGGCTAGCCTGACAGTCTAGCCGTACTTATCTTAGGCCCTATTAACAATAGAAAACAGGAGGTTTAAAATACATGCACTGTCATTAAGGCACCTGGTTTCGTCTCAAATGCAAATACTTTAGATACTGCCCACTAAAAATGTATGTTTACAATTCAGTAGGCCTATTTTTTTTGTAAATGGTCAGTCTAGCCATCATATTAAGAATAAGTACGGCTAGACTGCCAGTCTAGCCGTCATTAAGTACGGCTAGCCTCTTCCTTGTTTTATTTTCTAAGGCCGGTCCGAGAGTGGCTCTGTGTCTGTAGGTCTGACCTGTAGCTGGCCTGGCGCACGCCGTGTGCGTGTCAGCACAGCCGCACTGTGGGTTGGCGCCTGTGTCCAGAGAGTATTTAAATATATTTTAGTGTCTCTGCTGTGTCTCAGCGAGCGCGAGGTACACTCGCTGCGTCTCAGCACAGCCGCACTGTGTGTTAACGTGTGTAGGTGTGCAACCGATGGGTCAGCCTTGCTATATTTAGGTACTGTTTCTAGTAATCCAAGACCAATTATTATACCAAGACAGGACAACTCTTCTTTACGTCGGATGTGCCAAGTGCAGCCCCCCCCCCCCCCCCCCCCCCCACACACACACACAAACACACTTGCAACTGCAAGTTTATATTGCATAGTTTATATTGGTTACAATGCAAGGCTAGATCTAGATCTAGAATCTAGAGAAGCACACCTGGGCCTACGGCAACAGTCAAAACTAGGTCAACTCTCGATTCGAAGTTTCAAAGTATGATAAGGTGCATTTCTGGGTGACTTTGTGGCCAAGTGTTGATGCTAGCATCAATATTTGATAGTAAAGCACCTAATAATACTTACTTCTTGTTGATTTTGATGATCTGTGAAGAGTTTCAGTCGAAAATAAACACGAAACGAGGCGACACATTTCCGCCATTTTTACAACACTGTTGAATAGGTACGTCTGATGCATCGCGCAGCTCAGCTGACAAAAAACAGACAACACAGCGACGCTGCTTAAGCACACGATAATGTATACATTCATTTGCATGGTGCGAGCCAGGCGAGCTACAGGTCAGACCTACAGAGCCACTTTGGGACCGGCCTTATTCTTCGTTCATCATCATCAATGCCTTTCACCCCTTGCAGGGTATATAATACAAGCTCCTTCCATTTATCTCTTACCTGGGCCATCCTTCCTAGCTCGTTCCACACATCCCTTTCCACACATCTCCTCCATGTCTCTCGTTGCCTACCCCTGCCTCGTGCCCCACGCTCCCTGTGGGTTCCACTTGCAGTGACTGTCTTGTGATGTTTCCGCTGGACTTCTGAAGGTGTGTCCCATCCAACCCCACTTTCAAGTCCTATTTCTACTTTTCTTTATTCTTTTGTCCTGTCCTTTCCTAATAGCTCTTCATTTCTTATTCTATCCTGCCACTTAATAATAATAGTCCTACAGTTGGTGAATATCTTTTTATAAAAAAATTAATATGCACCTGTTCTATTGAATGCCAAATGACCACCAACAGAAGAGAATGAAGAAAGTTTTGGGTTCCTCGCCTTTCACTAATTATTGTCAATTGTCATCAAATGCACCATTTCTGGTTTGGAGTATAAATGAGGATATTTTCCATGATGGTACCTCCTGTAAAACCTTTGATGTCTGTGGATCCACATGCTCCACTAAGCTTAACTTATAATATAATGAAGTTTCTAAAACAATTTATATGTGTGTAACTCACTGCTAATGGCTTGTATAATATTTATCCTCTTGCTTTTCAGATCCTTAGTTTGTTTAGCAAACTATACTATGATACTACACTGAACATCATGCCTTTTAGTTGTGGTGTGTGTGGTAACAGTGAGTATGATGAAGAAGATGGACTTTTCTTTTGCACAGAGTGTGGTACACAGTCAGAGGTAAGAGTTTGAGCTTATTATTTATACTTTATATTTTAAATATTTCGTTAAGTTAAGTAGTTGGAGGTAAAGTAAATCATGTTGCTCCTGGAAAATTTGTCAGGTTTCAACAATTCTGGCTTTAATTTATGTTTTTACTGTGCTAGAATGAAAACTACTAAATTGCTACAAGTACTTTCAAGAATTATTGCCAGGCAAGTTTCTTAAAATGAGCTGCTTGATGAGTATTCTCATAATATCCTCATCATTGCTTGTAGTAGTGTTGAGTGTTGGTATCTTTGTGACCACCTTTTGCTGCCAGTGCTTTACTGTTTGGCAGCCATTCAACACCAGTCGGTGATGCTCTATAATGAGTTGGAAGTGCATGCTACATTTTAAAGTTCATAGTTTTCCTCAGCAGTGAATCAGTCAATATTTATTTAGCTGAAAGAAATGTATTGACCTGGTTTTTAACGCTTTGCCATCACAAGGCTCATATAGTAAAAACCCTTGCCATCAAAGGCAAAGGCATTTTGGGGAAAACCCAAAGGAACTGGGTGGTAAACATCGCCGATCAGCGAGACGGACGGCAAAGTGTTAATTGAGTCTGCTTTTTAACTCTTTCACTACCGCGAGCCATGTTTCACTCTGGGCAGTAAAGCTGGACCGTCGTCATGTCCTGCTTCAAACCACGCCTACTTTTGTAATAATCAAATCTGAAATCTCAAGCTGAAGAATTATTGTTTTTAGCAACATAATGAGATACGTCTTTATTAACCCTTTATTTTCATATGATATATGTGGATAATATTGAAAATTGAACCAAAAAAAATTTAATTTGTCCGACAGTAGGTAGAATCAGAAAGTAGGTCACAGACAGGGCCTGGTCCATGTGAGGAAACCCCCCCATTCAGTAGTGAAAGAGTTTAGACTGTGCTAGAGCAATGCTGTATGGATACGTGAGACCAGAAAAAGCTAATGATGGGAGTATATTTAGCCCCCCAAAAAAATTCAGTCACAGTTAAAAAATTATGTTGCCTCAGGGGTCTGAATGAGAATATGTATATGAGAGGCTGAGATGCAAAACCTGCAACATCCATTTTAGCACTCTTGAGAAAATCAGCTGTTTTTAATGCTGCTCTGTACGCACGAACACGTGTTTATGAAAAGAGAAAGAAGATTTTTTGGTGGCTTTTATGAGTGTGTTGGGTTTGGGCCGAAAACACTTTGTGCATCTACTAGCCGGGAGCAATGTGCATTTATAAGCAAAAAAATCTCGTTATATTGCTTGGTTTTACATTCTAACTAAATTTAATGTGGACAAAGGAAATGACTTCAAAACGAAACGTGATCGTACTTTTCTTTTTTCATCTACAGGAACTGATTGTGAAAGAATCACACAATGATGATGGGGTTGCAGGGGCTCTTGGACATGAAGTGAAGGTTTTGAAAAGTCAGGAAACTCCAACTACTTCAAAGAGTGAGTTTTGCTGTTGGGAGTGAACTTTTAATGACAGAGTTCATTTTGTTGTCTTCTTTTGTATCTCTGTGATTTGTCATTAGCTTAGCTGTGCTACATGAATATAGAATATGACCTTTTTCTTAGTTTGTATCCACCTTTGTTTGTTTCCTCTGAAAGTTTGGGGGTTGACAGTTAGGGATGCATGTTGACTATTGATTTGTTTTTTATTTTCTTCACAAAATTGCGGACTTAGAATGACGTACTTTCTGGATATGTGGCGTGCCATCACGACTTAACTTTTGTCGAAAGAATGTTAACAGGCAAAATGAGTAATGGTTTACATTTTGTAAAACATTACATGGTGCAGTATGTATTTATTTCCTTCCTATGCACCGAAAACATAACACATAACAATTACGAATATTGTATAGTAAAGTGAATCAAGTGCAAAGCGGCATTGATGATTTCTTCCCTGCTTTTGGAAAAAAAAGTGTTCAAGACAAAGGGGAGCTATCTCAAGATCAGTGTACCAAACTAGAGACTTGTTAGCTTAGCAGGTAACTATGTGGCTACAGAGTTTTGAAAATGTGCTCTTTCTTATGCAAGGGTGTGACTAAGCAGGATGATTCACTGTATTTCTTTTTTCTTACAATCACGATCTCATCTGTGACACGTGTGTGTATCTGTTTCCCTCTCTCTTTCTTTCTCTCTCTCTCTTTCTTCTCTCTCTCTCTTTCTCTCTCTCTCTCTATCTCTCTCCCCCTCTCTTTCTCCCTTTATTTCTCTCTCTTTCTCTCTCTCTCTCTTTCTCTCTCTCTCTCTATCTCTCTCCCCCTCTCTTTCTCCCTTTATTTCTCTCTCTATCTCACTCTGTCCCTTTCTCTCTCTCTCT